CCGGGAGCCCGCCGGAGGCTCCGCTCGGCTCCCCGTCCCCGTGCTCCCCCGGCCCAGGTGGTGCTGCTGAGACTCACCTCGCCGCCGAGCGGGGCCGCGCCATGTGCAGCCGCGCCATGCGGTGCTTAGCGCGGTTCGCTCGGCGCGGAGCGGCTCCCGCCCGCCTGGCCAAGGGAGAGCCCCGTGCTCCGCTCCCCGCTCGCAGCCCTGCCCGTGCCTGCCCCGACGCGGCTGCTGGGCGCCGCTCCCCGCGGCTTCCACGATGGGCGCGCTCAGGCCGGCGGCAGGATGGGGAATCCCGGGGGGTTTCGAGCGCGGGGGGTGGCGTGCCGGCTGCTGGCGGCCACTGTCCCCGCCCGTCTACCCGAGGAGCGCTTTCGGGAGAGGAGGGAACAACAACAGCCGCAAAATACACCTAGTGAGCTTCAAAGCTAAAGCAAAAAAAACAAACAAACAAACAAACAAACAAACAAACCAAAAAAAAACCCGAAACAACCAAAAAAATAACCCAGACCAAAATAACGTCATTTAAACCCGCCGGGAACATTAGAGGTCCTAAAATAAATAGAGATTTTTAGGAAGAGAAAAGGATCTGCAAATTGACGAGTCAAGACTGAGATTTAAACTTTATTATGGTGAGGAAAAGCCTACGTATCTGCCTGTATGTAAAATACTTACCAGCTGCAGTTGCTACGGCTGTCCCAGAACCGTCCTGGCAGGGCTGAACAATCCGGGTGTTACAAATGCTGGTTTGCAATTGAGTAACTCCCTTACATTACCCCACAGAGGGGTTATTTGAGGAAGTCGTGAGTGGTGTGAGCTGTCGWGTGGGCTGTATTTGGCCACTGCTCCCTAGAAAGTGATCGAGATCATTAAATAACACCTAATTAACACAGAAGACCTACCAGTGTATACAAATAACCAGTTTCAGCAATGTGAAGCAGAACGTTTTGAGGCGATGACTGYTTTGGGCTTTCCTTATCCTTCTGTTGACTGCCTACACAAGATTTCCTTCTCCCCGTATGTCAGAGTTACACTCCTCCTGCTTTCCTGATAAACTATGTTCCTTTTTTTGGTAAAGTCAGCAGGAATCTCAGAGCTGCCAAAAGCCATAGGGGAAATGAACAGATGAATCCAGWATGAAGTCTCGATAAAATCARCYCCAGAATCCGGAGGATAATGAATTKAAGCACYAGTTTCTGTAGGATTGTTCTTCTCTCTCTAGCCTGACAGTGGTGTTACAGTGCAGAAAAGTCTGGTGTTGGGGTGACAGGCAAGGGCTGTCCAGCTGGTAGAGTAGCATGCTCTTTACATGAAGACTACGAAGAAAAAAAAATTGAGTATCTGAAGTAATAGTGATGCAAATGAGACCGTAGACTCACAAGCAGTTCTAGAAATTTGGGAAGTTTTTGCTTTAATAGTGAGTTAGAAAAACATTGGCCCTACACTGCAGGAGATTTTAGTTGGTTGAAAAGTTGTTGACAAGCCTGCCTTAGTATAAGGCTTAGAAAAGTAAATAAGTAAAGATATCCTGCATTTTGTGAGAGAAAGCTGTGTTCTCCTAATCTATGAAAATTCTTTGAAAAAGTCAAAGAAACTTTCCCTCCAAAATTGTCCTACTAGACAAAAGTAAAATTCGGTGACTAATGAGTAGTTTCCAAAAGGACATGGCTTTTAASAATAGGTAACTGAATATATTAAACAAAAAAAAAATCATAAAAACCCCACTAAATCAGCGCAACCACAACCACCWTTTATAAAATGTTTAGATACAATGCCATTTTGAATTAAATAATGCAATTAAAATCGATTACAGAGGTCTGCTCATTGTGCCGACTATAGTTTTCCTAATAGTTCCTGGTTCCTCATGACTGTCTAAGTGGGACTGTGCCTCATCCTCCATAGCAGGTTAGCTAATTGTACCTGCTAAACCCTCYTAAGCTTGCAAGAGGAAGAAAAATACTTGCAATTTGCTTTCTTCTCTTCTTGTTTAAATAAAACTTAGAGGCATATTCTGAAAAAACATTTTGGCTATTACAAGTGATTGATTTGTGCATTTGCATTGTGCAGCCCATAGAATCTCGTCTCAGAATTTTTTGCATAAAGGTTATGCAAAACTTCTGCCCGAGTTAAAATATAGGATTTAAATATACATTGTCTTGGCTAAAGGACTCAAACGGGAAGTTAATTTACCCATAGGAAGCTCTCCCTGTGGCTGATATCCCTAGGGATTGCCTGATAAGATCATGTTAAAAGGGTGCAGGGTTGAGACAATGCTTCAATCTGCTGCTCCAGGCTGAGGCTGGAGGACATGCTGGTCATCTGGAATCATACAGGAAACCTCTGACCATCCTTCTCCAGAAGGTTAAAGCTTGCTTCATGTGACAGTGATGGGAACTGCTTGCTTTTGAAAATCAGTCTCTGGCAATTCAGCTCCCACAAAGTGAAAATGTGGCACCTACCTAAGGGACTACAGAGAGTCATGGGGACAACCTGAGATACCTATACTGCTTGACCATTTTGGCATTGCTATTCCACTTTTAAGGCTCTCAGCACAGAAATGAATAAAGTATCATTTGTAGATGCTCATGTCACTCCACTGTCCTTAGGAAAGTCTGAAAGATAATCTTTTAGAAACTGAAATTTAAGGCTGTTGACCAAGTTGAGATGGATGCTATCCTAAATAATCTTCTCAATGCCCCCTTGGACAGATACTAAACAATGCAGGATACACCTTCTGAGCGGCGTGATTGCAGCTGATGTCCAAGGAGTTGGAACAACTTGGGACTGCATGTAATAGCGGTCATTTATTTTTTATTTTCTTTATCTACAGGGATAAAGGATTTTTTTCTTTATCTACAGGATATTTGTGTCTTCTGTGAAATGTTACAATACTGTCTCAATATTGCATGAAGATACTCAGCACTTCATAGGAAGTGACCTTGGAAGGGTATTTATGATGTGCTAAAACAATAAACCAAGTGAGCAATTGCGCAGAGACCAGAATTCTTTTCTTCTACCAAAAATATCTTTCAAAAAAACTAGAAGAACAAGCTGCAGGTTCTGTCTGCTTCCTCACTTAGAAAGATCCATCAGATCCTCCAAGGGACACCTGTTTCCCTTGAGGCTTGGCTTCCTTTGATCAAACACGATCAGAATTCTCAAGATGGTGTCATAAAACTACTCAGGCAACAAAATGTTGCCTCAAATTCTTGTTTGAATTTTATTCAGCATTCATATGTTCACACCCATAAACATTCMGKTTCCAGTGTTCTTTTTAGGTGCACYTAAATTTATGTGATAATTTTTGATTCAAGCAATACAGAAGATAGTCTTCAAGGAATCTATGTTTGCATTTTCTTGTATGCTTTCCTTTTTTATATTGAAATAATGAAAGTTATTTTAATATATAGAATGTTGATTTTCAGTAACATGAAAACATAATAAACTTTGCCTTAACTAACAGAAAAAAAATATTTTAGCCAAAGTAACCTTTTCTGGGGGTCTATAAAATATATTAATAGGGTGTCTGTCATAGTGCACTGCTGTAACTTCTGGAGACTCCTGCATATGTAGCTGGGAATGGAAGGGACCACAGGAGTCAAAGTGCCCCCATCTGAATGAGAGCAACACTGAAAACTGGTGAAAGACAGACTCTTTACCTGCTCCTCAGGTTTTCCAGTCGTGTTTTATTGTTAAAACCTGTCACTCAAATGAAAAGGAAGCAGTGGTGATTTCCTCCAGCAAAACCAGCTACCAGAGCTGGAATACAGAATACACTAGGACAAAATACATGGGAAGAGGATTTTCTGTATTCCAGATGCTGCTACTGTGTGCWAATCCCTCTGCCCATACTCCAGCTCTGCATGTTCTGACTTGTAGAGTATCTGCAACAGGAGCCAAGYTAAACAACCACTTACAAGTTCATCACAATATAACTGAGATTTTAACATGCTTAAACAGGTCAGGCTAAACTTTCAATAATGTTTTTATCCTTTCTTTGCTCAGGAACAATGAATGTCTTACTTTCAAGCTCTTTTTGATAGACTACTACATGGATTTTAATTTTTTTTATTATTATTCTAATTTAAAACATGCAAGTTTAGTTCTAAGACTTAGGCAATTTTCCTAGGTATAAAATAATAAATCAGCTGGTAAAACTCTTCTACAAAACAATCTTTCTGATTTTAGTCCTTCTTGAAGGACCAAAATGACCTGCTTTCTGATTATGCCTTATTACTCTGATTCACAGTGCAGGGTGGATAATATGAGTAGGCTTCAGCTGGAAAGCTTGTATATTGCTCACGTCCACTTGGAATGTCCTTTCAAGGAGCAGCAATCTAGAGGTCTGATGGCAAATCTGGGAAATTGGTTGAGCAGATAATTTGTTGGATTAGCATTGCTCTGTACCAAGGTGACCTGCCTTGCTGCACAGTCACTCCCAGCTGATGCTGTACACAAAGCCCTGKTTTTTGGGCCAATTTGCAATGTTGTCTTTGTGACAGTGTGTAAGKAAGGCACCAYGTTGGATTGAAGAACTGGATTCCAKTTCACATCTGCTCATACTTTCAAGTGGACTCTTAAAACATGACATAGATGGGGGCATTCACTGAGCTGCAGTGGGGAAAGGAAGGGACTGCTGAAACATGCTGCTTTCTTCTCTGTCTCCAAAAAGCAGAAACCCAGATCTGCAGGAAATTTGGGCCAATGTGTTCCTCACACTTCTCTCGACAGTCCCACTCATTCCTCAGTCCACAGGTAGTGCTGTGCTAAGGTTTTTCAGCCACTCGTGATGCCAAGGGCTTTTCCTGGTTTGCCCTTGCTTCTCCAGCAAGTAAGGGTGGCTGACTCCAGCACTCACAACTGCAGGAGCTCTAACCACAGAGGACTGCAAGTTGGGAGTATTTCCATGGAAAGACTTTTTCATGAAAACATTTTCTTCTGCTGAAACTGAAAGTCCTTGTAGGGAAAGGTTGAATTTTATGAATTCCCCATTTAAAAAAAAAAAAAAAAAAGGCATAGAAAAGGCTCAGCAGATTTGAGAACATATGGGGTTTTCTTCTCCCCTGTCTTACACATTGTGTCATTGCTTACGATCTGACAAAGCAGATGTAAAATGCAACCTCACTGCCTGGGTAGGATTCTCCTCCACAAGTATAATTGAATAAAAAACATTAAAAACTTGGTGAATCAGTCCCCTGGTTCTTTTCCTCAATGATGTTTGATCATTTGTAACCCGCTTTTGACTAATGTGGCATATGCAAGTTTATGTAGTCCTCTTTTACTGAACTCTTCCTGTTTTGCTTTGCCTTCCCATCCTTCTGCTTTATCTSAAGACTTTACATCATTCTGGGTTACTACATCTGAAGTGTTTTGAAAGGAATGCATTC